CGGACATTGCACAAAACCAATATACTAATTCACTTCGTGAATGAGTATAAAAAGTAAGAAACCTTTAGTCGAGACTGCTCGGATACGAGATCCCCTAAACCCTTCGAGCAACTGATATTTCAATAATTATTCGCACATGCGCACACTCACGCACATACACAGGCATACGTGGATCGCAGCTCAAAAGAGATGAAATGTGACTTCAAAAGCTCAAGTCAAAGGTCGCAAAAAACTGTTGGACTCTGATGCTCTTCTAATGATATCGGAAATGGGGAAGAACAAGCTGCTAACACCAAAGGCTGCTTCTCTTGCAAATAATAAAAATATTAGCGAATGGACTGCTAGAAGAGCACTTCGTGGCATCGAATATGTCTCATTCGTTAAGAAAAACAAACATGGCGGCGGCAGCATTATGGTTTGGGAATGCTTTACTCGGTGGAACGTTGGGCCTCTACATAAAGTAGAAGGTATACTGCGCAAAGAAGATTATATGAATATCCTTCAAACCTATATTCCCAATTTTTTTGATATATGTGCGTATCCCTAATAAGAAATGGTTTTTCAAACAAGAAAGCTCTAGTCGAGAATGTTCGACTACGAGATCCCCTCAACTCTTGAACTGATATTTGAATAATTCGCACACACACACACGCGCATACACAGGCGAATGCGCTTCGGCTGCGCTGCAGTGTTGGATTATTTCTTGAAAAATATAATTTCTAGACGTACAATCTTAATGAAATGAGAACGTAATCATAATGTTCAAATGTATGTATATTCCAAAGCACAAGTTTTTAGTATTTGAAGTTTTTAGTATTTGAAGTACGCCTTTTACAAATATGAGGGTGCGGGGGTGGATTTAGGGGTGGGGGTTAAATTTTAACAAAAATCGAAATTGTATGCAATGCATCTTAATATATATTTAAAATTTGGAGACTCTAGCTTTAGAGATATAGGAGATATCATTTTATAACTGATTTTTGATAAGGGTTTTATCGATAACAAATCGATTTTTATTTATAAGCTCGATATCTGCGCTATATATACGGACATTTAAAAAAATTTGAAGTCTCTAGCTCTTATATCGCCGCGTTCAAACATACGGACAGGGCCAGGTTATTAAAAAATGGGGATCCAAAATATACTGCCAAAATTGTGAAGGAATGGATTGGAAACCAAAATTTCAAACTAACGAATTGACCAGAACAGAGTCTCGACCACAATCCTGTTGAAAATCTGTGGTCAATAGTGAAAAGACGGCTGGGACAGTATGATGCAGCCCCAACGAGCATGGACAACTTATGGAAGCGCGTAGAAGCGGAGTGGAGGCAAATACCGAGCGAAATCATTCAAAGTTCGGTTTGAGAGCATACCAAAAAGAATAAAAAAAAGCTATTGGTAATAAGGATTTTTGGACCAAATATTTAAAAATTTTAGTTAATTTATATTTTAGCGTGCAAAATCGAGATTATATCGATTTTTATATTTTTTATTTCTAATTCTTTGAATCTAGCATATTCAGTTTTTTTTTATTTGTTGAGTACAAACAAAACAAATTTTTTGGTTTGCTTGTACGGTTTAATTTTTATGCGTGATAGAAGTCAATTTTATTGAACATTCACTCATTTTTGCTCGGTACTGTACATTAATGTCTGAATAGAAGTTGAAAATTGAAATACAAAGTGGTTTTGTTAGCTACAACACAGAAGTTCACATAAGGTATATGTATTCTTGAACCGGAACCGAAACTATTTCAAATATTAAAACTAAATTTCGCTATAGCAAGCGGCGATATTACCAAGAATACAAGTGCGCTCGCATGCACGGGCTGCAGTTAGGGCTTACTATAAGTGCTGTAATGTTGAATTACTTTTTTTTTATGTGGGCAATCTCAATAAAACTTTATTGGCTTCATAGTGACATTAAAATGTGTGTATTAGCTAAAGCATAAGACTGTAGCATTTAAAGTTATCATTGATATTATCATCGGTTTTCGATAAGACTCTTAATCGATAGCATTGAAACAAAAATGTCTGTCCTCCTCCTTAATAAAACCATCATACCCTTATTTCCACTATAAATTAGCAGTAAAACTGTAGAAAAGTCAGTTTTTACGATTTTCCAAGCAGCCAATGGGCGTAGGCACTTAATTTTTGGCGGGTTCTTCGAATGAAGGGTAACAAAACAGAATAATGTTAGTGGTTGCGCGTCCAAAAATATGAGATGCCACGCCCCCAAAGAAGAGTAACAATAATTTTAGAGTCATCAATGCAAATTTTTCGGTTCGCCAAGCACCCTATGAGCGCAGATATATCCGATAAAGCTTCTTGATCAAAATATAGTAGAATTGTAAATATCTCTATATTGTTAGGGCCGGTTTGCCACGCCTATAGTGGGCGTATAAACATAATGATGAGCTCATGTGCATGTCTTGGGTGGTCAGCACGAATCTAGTATTTGAAATACTCCTTTTACAAAGATGATGGTGAGGGGGTGGATATAGGGGTGGAGGATAAATTACAGCAAAAACCCATAAGTCTACTTTTAACATTTAGAAGCTCTAAAGGTGTACGAGATAAAATAAAAAAAAAAAACACAATAAGGTTCTTAATCGATAATAGAATATCGTATACATTTATCGATTTTTAGAGAAAAACTCGATATCCGCATGGTATACACGGACCTAAAGAACAAATTTTAAGTCTCTAGTTTCTATATCTTCTGACACCGACACTTTCAAACATGCTGACAGACGGACGGAGAGACAGACAGACGGACAGGGCTAAATCAATTCGGTTCGTAGCCCTGATCAAGAATATACATATATACTTTGTGGAGTATGCCACTTCTTCTTCTGCCTGTTACATACATTTCAGCTTTTATATCTTCTGAGATCGACGCGTTCAAACATACGGACAAACGGACGGACGTACAGGGCCAAATCGCAAAGCTCGGCGTTCTGATAAAGAATATACAAAACAAAACCAATGTACCCTGATTTCCCATTCCAACGGGTTCAAGGTATAATAAATAGGACTCTTTAGATACAAGTACAATTTCAACTCTTAGCAGTTGCAGGTTAAGAAATCCTGGAGCAGGGACTCTCCATAGACTCCACATGCTACCCTAATTTCCCATATTCAATGGGCTACATTTTTTTTATGTTCAACGATAGTTCTACAAGAACGTAGACGTGCTTCGTGAAAATGCATTGGAAATACGGTACCTTTAGTTGTATTGCGTGAAAAAGGAAGAAAACTCAATTTCAATAATTTTTTGCTTATTTTCACAAAAGAACAACTCACACATACCTGGTACGAGAGACATATTGTGGAGGGCCATTCAAGGCTTCTATAAGTGAGACGGGTATATATCCAGGCGGAACATCTGGAGGAGCTGGCTCGCCAGACACTGAAGTTGGAGTATTCTGGTGCAGCATCTGCGTGCTGATTCCCTTTTGAACGGCTCGTATTTGTAAGAGTGCACGAAATGGCGCACGACAGATGGGGCAGTTATTGGCTTGGTAACGCAGAGAATCGGCACAGGAGTTACAGAGACAAAGATGTCGGCAGGGCAAAATAAGTGTGTCACGGGTTTCGCTCATGCAAATAACGCACTCACTGCCATGATCGTCAATTTCTTCATCCATCGTCGCTTTGTTAACTGCTTTGTTTTCAATGCCGTAGATCTCTTGCAATAAGTAGCATAGACCGTCCACAAAAATTTTCTGCTTAAGTGCACGTAGCACATAACTGCATGTTTCTGGGTGGTGGTCTATTACGCAAATTGTAGTATGCGACTGACGACAATCTTCATTGCCTTCTTCGATGACGCAATGTATAGCAACTGGGTATTGTTCGCGACCAGCATTGTATAAAAGGTCATCTTCGGGTATTACGTGTGGGTTAAATACGTGGCTGGGTTGTGAAAAACATTGATTGATACCTTTTTCGTAATGGTACGTATCAGATGTAAGAGAATATCCATCGCGTGGAGTTAGCCTTATACCACTGGAACTCACATCTTCTGTACAAAAGTAATATATAGTTATAGCACATTTTGCGTCGGAATCGAAGGTAAACTCAACATTGTAGTTTGGTGGCACCGCCTCTATTCCTTTATTTACTCCACCCATATTACAGAGAACGCTGCCGTCCACTTCCTCAATAGATGCAGTTTCCGTTAGTTTTCTATTTTTTTCATTTTGCTGCAAGGTCTTAACATCAGCACAGCTTGACTTTTTATCATTCGGTACTCTCACAAAGCGCACCGATTCTTTTCTTATGTTGACGAGGCTTTTGAGAGTTTTGGTAGGTTCGTTGGCCTGTGGTGGCGGATAGGGAAATGCTGTGGGGCGATTACCCAAGAAATTAAGATCCGCATTCTCACCAAACAAATATGACTCTGGTTGGGGCGTGTCAAATCGCTCACCACCCATTATAAAATGAGTGCCAAAGAAATTTCCAATACGTGGTGGATATTTATAGGCATGATTGGTAATATGGTCAGCTTCTTCGACAGCTACGTTTTGTCTACTTACAAAATTGCCCATTTCTGCAGATATATCTATTAGTATCCAGCTTTCGCCATGCACGGTTTTTTATTTTATCCTTATCTCACCATTTCTCTAGTGATGCTAGGTCGGAACATCGATGTTTCTTTATCGATATTTGTCGTTTGTGCGTAAACGTAACATGAAACGCCTTTTGTAACTATTAAGTTCAGTTTACATTGAATAAGGGTACAAAAAAAAAAACAGCCAGTTGAAGTTTTACAAAATAAATCCATTTGTGAAAAATATTTTATTAAAAATTTATTTATGATTTATTTATTACCATAAACCAGACAACACATAATGGCTGGAGCTAAAAAGTACATTTAGGGCTCGATCGCTGGTATCGATTGAAATGGTGAAGCTCGATAGATTAATGGAAAACTTGCAATATATCAAACTTGTGGGCGTGATGCGTGTAGGCACTAAGCAAATAACACAAAGACTAGACAATGTCGATGGTGTCACCACTCGATGGATTTCGCAACGATGGCAAAAATCATCGATACCTTCGATGGTTCAGTCTTTATTCACGACTTTTTGTCTCAATTCATAAAAATTATATTTATACTTCAGATCATCACAAAAAAAGGCTTATACTAAAACTAAACAACAAACTTTGCCTTGAATTCATAAAGGTTCATATTTATTTTATAACTAAAAAACAAAAAGTTTGACTTTGATTAACAAGAGTCTTAATATATTACTAAATACTAAAAAACAAAGCTTGACTATCATTCAAAAGAGTCTTAAGCCTAAAACTGAAATCATTAATTATCGTGAGATCCATTGGGTAGCCAATTGATTGACGAGGATTGGATAATGAGGGTTCATATAAATCCGTGCGCTAAATAAATTTTTCAATTGTCTGCGATTTGGGCTCCAAAATTTTGCACATCCTGTGCACTGCACGCTTTAAATGCTCTTGCATATTTGATGTGTTCCCGCTCGTTTTATATTGCTGCCCACCAGTGTTGCCTAAACTTTTTCAGCAAAAGTAGCAAAACCGAGGGCTGAAAATAGCTAAAAGTAGCCAACTTTCTTCTAATATAGTTGGAAAAGTAGCAAATAAGGAAACAGTGCTGGGGTTTTCATAAAAAGTTAACTTTATTAATTTAATTCTGATAATATTTCATCTATGACCACCAACTCGTCATTTTCAGCATTGTCGCTTTTATAATTCGCCTTTTTAAGGTGGTTGATTGGAAGGCTATATTCATAACAACATTTGCCATGTCGGCGTAATCCATATATATGTATATATGAAATCTCATATAACTTTTATGTCAACCATTAAATTATTTGTTTTCACAGTGCACCTCATTCTGTTCCTTAGCCTAGTTTTGATTTGATTTGACTTGGCTGAATAGGCGGTCGACTTCAGCGTTCGACCAGGACAAGGATAATGTAAACATGATATTGGAAAATCGAAAAAATATCGAAACTAACCAATTCTGTTATAAGTTCGCTTGCATGTTAGCTAAATGGAATATTTGAAAATAGCCAGATTTGTAGCTAATAGCTGTTTGAAAATTTTTGTAGCAATAGCTGATTCGGCAAAACTGCTGCCCACACAACAAGAATTTCACAAAGTTTTTATACTCATTCACGAAGTGAATTAGTATATTGGTTTTGTGCAATGTCC